ACATGCGAAAACGATATATTTCTTAATATCTTTGCAAAGAACATTAATGTTACACTGTGAATCGATACGATGAAACATCAATATGTCGAAACAAATCGATGTATCGCTCAGATGTTTTTTTTTTATCTTTTATCGATTTCCTTTTTTTTTCTACATAAAAGCGTTTAAATAACTTGCAATGTAATATAATATGGCTATTTTTCAAACTTACCTTTTGTGGCAACGCATATACAACACAGATGCGTGATTCCAATAGTACATGTGTAAATTTCAGTTACTTATATTTTCATGCGATTTTTCGGTGCATCGTCAGCCAACCAGGAAAAAAAGAAAGATTAGGCCTAAAAACGGTAGAACTAATGCGGTGTTTCACCGCGAACCTTATGGTTTTACCTAAAAACTTATGATAAAGTTGATGATACTGCTTATATTCGATCCATTTAACTTCTAAGGCTTATGTTATTTCTAAGACTTATTGTTTTTTTTGAGGGGAAGTAGGAAATCAGCTCTAAATGATTAGGACAAATAAACCAAAGTTGAATCTTATAATTCGATAATTATATTTTATTTAATTAATGAATATTTCTTTATTTTTAAATATCACACGTATTTATAATTTTTCTATTACAAGTTTTTAACTTTACTCCTGTAAAAGTTAGCGACAGTTTGAGTTTGTCAGTCGGCATAGTTTTTACTGCTTAAGTAATCACCATCAATTATAATGATATCAACAAATTGAAATTTAAATAAATATGTCACCTTTTATGTTCTTTCTTTTATGTTCGTTTAGTTTATGGTTTTAAATTTTTCGAACCTTACTTTATTAGATTGAATAATTAGGTGTATAAATTAAGAATGCAATTCAACAGCTGTCTCACAACGCATAACAGATATATATTTTTTAAGTTTAAATTTATTTTTAACCATGTCTTGGTTTTATGAACGTTATAAAATAGTTCATTTTAGTTTTGCCTTAAATGTCAGCTTTTTTAATTTCTTTTATTGAAACTTTAACATAATTAATTTATTTTGGCATACTTACATAGCTACTTTCATAATTAGTTGTGTAAGGTTTTTTGAATTTCCTCTGTACAATTATTAAGTTGCATATTGCAATCAGTGTTGGTGTTTCGTCCGTAAGGAATCATTCCTTTCAAGATATTGGTAGAAACTCGATGAAATAGAATTTTAAAAAGATGAATTGTTTAGCACTAAGTATCATAAAAATGGCTTTAATTTAGAGAAATAGAATTATAAAAAGATGAATTGTTTATTTAGCATTAAGTATCATAAAAATAGCTTTAATTTAGAGAAATAGAATTATAAAAATATGAATTGTTTAGCATTAAGTATCATAAAAATGGCTTTAATTTAGAAAAATAGAATTATAAGAAGATGAATTGTTTATTTAGCATTAAGTATCATAAAAATAGCTTTAATTTAGAGAAATTGAAAAAAATGTAGCACTAGAAAGTTGTAAAGAATGTAATTCATTATTTAGTGGTATTAATAAATGTTTATGTTACTTAAACAGCTTAATTTTATATAATTTTAAAAAGTTTAGTCGGTTAAATTAATTTTTTTCTTTCCAGTTATCGTTCATTTTAAAAATGCTGAATTTAACAGCTTCAAAATTAATACTATTATATAATTGCAGTTAGAAAATTGTTTTTTAAAAAAAAAAAACTTTTTATTTAAAAATTTTCTTCCAACTGGATGGTTGGAGACCCGATAGTATCGTCATTTAATTTTATTTGTTTAATTGATATATTATCGAAATGAATAAGTCCAAGAGGTAGCCTGGGTCTCATTATTTTAGGTGACATTGTATTTTTTACTAGGAAACTTACTTACAGGAAACAAAATAACCTGTTATCGTTTGTGTTCGAAATGACGAGGGGAGGGGTGGAGACAGATGGTTGAGGAGATATGGGGAGTTTCACCTTTCACAGGGCAAGGATGTAGAATAAAAAAAAAAAAGGTTCACCTGGACATCCTTTTTCCTGTTCAGTGTCAAAAAGTGAAAATATTGTGTCATTTTATTTAGGGGTGACCTTGAGGTGTTATTTGTTTACTTTCTTCTAACACACCTTTTAATTAATAAACCGACAGAGTTCACACCCAAACAAATTTTAATTAATGTCAGGGATCACTCCAATTTTATTGTAAATTCACCGATCCATAATTAAAAAAAATATTACAGTTTTTGTTGTGAATTTGTTATTTTTCAGAATGAGCATTTTTTTAAAAACTTTATGATTATTATAATCTGTTAACTATCAAATGGATGTATAAACTTGTTCTTGTTATTATTACTATATAAATAATAATGATAAAAGTTTCTACGTTATGTATCTGTTTGATAGAAATTTTTGTTTTTATCTTCTGTAGTTTCTAATTTGTTTGGAACGCTCGCTGAAATATTATTCTTTCTAGATATTTCTCCTTGAGGATACACTGTAAAAATTTCCTGATCAAATTACGGTAAAATTTTACTGATAAATAAACTAATATACCCTAATTTTTACAGTACTGTAAAATTTCTGAGTCAGAAGTAAGTTTTACTATAAAAATAACAGTATTAAAATGTTATGGTAAAAATAGGTTTTACGGGTGCTGCACTCAGGGTGTCAGTACTTTTTACCGTAATTTGATTCGGAATTTTTTGCAGTGTGAGGGCGAGATATCTCGTCTTTCGTGAGTATTTTCTGCGCTCTTAAGACGAAATTATGGGCGATATACGATTAATTTATTACGATACAATTACGATTATATACGATTGCGATTCGATATTCTAAATAAACCAATTAATGTAACTTGAAACTGGTATTTGTTTAATTATAGGTTCTATGCATCTTCAACATAATTTTAAATAGTATAAATTCATTTTAGAGTATATGAGTAAATATGGTTAAAAAAGAAGTAGGGTGATTAAAGTTACCTTTACTTAATGCCACTTTTTTGTTATAGGATAGTTTTCAACCGCAAAAACTTTTTAATACGTTAAATTTGATCTCGTAAGTGTTTTTTTTAACAGTACATAAAATATATTTATAACAGTTAGAAAAAGAACAAATTATTTTGAGTAAACGATTCTATAGTGTTCTTTGTTTTTTAATTTGCACTTTTAGTTTTAAGAATAAAATGAAGTCTTTTTAGGAAATATTTTAGAGTCAGAATTTCTCTTATTCATTATCAGAGGTGCCAACTATTACTATTTATCCGTAATTATTACGACTTCGTATTCAAGATAACGGTCTTGTCTTATGGTTGAGTAACAAAAATTGCGGGATTTTGAGAAATTTTCTAACTCTGTTAAAATAAGTATTTCTTCTCCCTAACTACCATGTTGTTTGCATCGAATATTCGAAAAAAAGTAATATTTAATTGTTACTTTTTTTATTTAATAGTAAATTCATAGATACTATTAATATCAGGTATATAGCTCTTTAAAATTAAGCTGTAAAGACATCTTAAAAATTGTGCCAATTTGAATTTTTGTTAACGTTAACTGTATTTACTTGTGATAACCGATATCTAGTTTAGAAAGTTTGCACCGTTGGGCATAAAATAAACAAAAATAATAGCATTTGCAATGAATAATGTATTTTAACTTAAATCGTAAAATAATAATTACATTCACAAAATCACTTTAATAACACACTAAGCGTTATCAACATTTTTGGTCACGATTCCCCATAAAATTCTGAATTCAAAAGCAGTCATCATTTTAATTCCTTGTCTGTCGTTTGCAAATAAACTTCCAACATAACGATACAACTGCAATATTGTTTCCACAAATAAAGTTATTTTTATTGTTACTCAAACTCAACATCCTTGCATGGAATGTTTTAGATTACATGAATAAAAAAAGGATAAGTACTCCCATGTACAATAGTGTTCCAGGATTTAGTAAACTGGCGCCAATAAGAGGTGAATGACGTCACAAGCTCCGCCTCACGAGGAGTCTATCCAAAACAGCAACGCCTCGTGTATGGAGAAATATAATATGAATGGTTGGGAGATTTTAGAATATCTTCTTAATTCAATCTTATAAACAATTTCTATAAACAATGTATACAAGCTCAATATCGGAAACATTGTAATAGGGTTAAAATATAGACACATTCATTATTGATTTTTATTTATTTGCTTGTTATATGTACAGATATATTTTTGTTAATTAGTATATATTTTTACATAATAGTATTGTAAAAAAGTTCTTCCAATTTTAACTTCTTTTCAAGGTATTTTGGGTGATACAATTTGTGTCTAAATTACTTCTATGTAGAAGTAAATAAAGTTTAGAAGTCCAGAAATAAAGTTTTCCTTTAAAGAAAATTTATTATTATTATTTTTCATTATTTCGGTTCATCAAATTTTGGTAATAAAAAGAAGAAAAAAAATTCGGTTCATAAAATTAGCCCGTGAACTATCAATTCTCTTAAGTGACGCATTCTAAATTATTTCACTAAGATTTTTTTCTCAAAGATTTCGCTATATATTTACACAAAGAGTTAACACAAAAACAGACAAGAAGCCATGTGAAACATAAACAAACTAATTAAGCATCGAAGTTGCCAGGTACACAGAACAAAAATATATCAGGGTTATTATAAAATATATAAACAAATAATAAATCGAAGTAAAAGAAATAGACCAGAAAGAAAATTATTTCAACTAATTCGATGTGCGATCTGTATTTAATTAACTTATGGTTAATTAACATTCTAACTTATGCTGATAAAGATAAACTGGCGCTGACGTCATAGTTCACATGTGTGGGTATGTGAGGTCTTCTTGAAATGCAAGTACCCAATTGTACTCCTTCAGTAATTTATTAATTTCTCCAGTCTTATAGTAAATATTATTGCTACTTATGTGCATTATATAGAAAATTAGTTTTTATGTTGTTATGCTTATTACATTTTTATGTTCTTATATTTGATGCCTTACTTTTTTGTCTTGCATGCTTATTAATTGATTTTTTTTTATTGCAGTTCTCATGGACTAAAAAAGAATGTCTATTGGTGAGCAATTAATTCCTTTTTACTACCTCCTTTAATATTATTGCATTATTTATTTATAAATGAATGATCTTTGTTATTCTTACTTATGTTTTAATAAACGTATTTACATGTTATTGTAATATTGCACTAGTACTATTATAATTTTTTTAATAATCTGTATCATTTAGCAATGATTATATCTTTAATATCTTTTATGATAAAAATTATATATTGATGAAAAATTTTTGAATTTATGTTTATTTCCATTTTGTTTAATTGCTATTACATGTTGATTTTGTTATTTAGTCTTTATATGCTATTAGTGATAAATACTTTATATGATATTTAAGCTGTACAATTGTTTTTTTGTTATATATACTTCAAAGCAGATGCAAAAACAACGAATTCCGAAAATGTTGGATTTGTATTTTTAAACAAACCCGGATTTGCAACTAGTATATATTAATTTTACCGTTTTGTATATTTTATTTCACAATTCAAATGCAAAATTTATTTAAATTTTTTTTTTGGAAAAAAAAAATTCTTTGAAGAGAGGCGTTTCGTGGGACTAAACATATATATTTATTTAAAAGCCTTTTTACATTAATAATAAATTATGCAGCAATTATAAGACTGAAAATAATTTATTTTATATTTTAAAAATTTCATCATTTCCATAGAGAACGTCATGATTCAGACTCTGTTTTAATCATGATGTTCTTAATCGACGCATAAGGATGCTTATGTTCCTTGTTTATACTTGAAAATTTGATCATATTAATAAACTAGTCTAGACGAAAATTCATTGTACGGCCTTTGTTTATTTATAATACTCTAGTGTCATATTATATTTTATTGTTGTTTATGTTCTAATGTAAGTTTTAACTCCAAATATGGATAGTGCATACTTTGTGCTCTTTATAAATAAAGCACACACTGATATGTACCTTTATTTGCTCTTTATTCACGTTGTTTTGCCTGATTTAAGCATTTGGTGTTCTATCCTTTATTGTTGTGCTTAATATTTTTTATTATATTGCATTATTTTATTTACTAAATCACACTTTATAAGTGCTTTTTTATATAAATATGAATGATATAATTAAACTTTTTCTGATTTTTTAAAGAATTTAATACAGTATTTTGACAAAATTTTCAATTGTTTTCAGTATTTGCTCTAATATTCCTACTAATTATCTGTGAAAGCTTGTTTGAAGAGGATAATACTAAAAACAATTGTTTTAAAAATAAAATTTGACTTAGAATTATTTCTACTTTCAACACTATTTTTTTTTAAGGAAAATATCTTTCTTGCCTTTAAATATTATAAATTAATTTTAGTTCCACTTGTTACAAGTCCGTGTTTTCGATCATCGTTTTTAAAAAGTAAAAGTTTTTAAACTCATTTTCAACAGGAAAATTCATAAAAAAAAATATATATATATATAAAAACTTTATTATTGAAGCTCTGTTGATTCGTTTTATTGGTATTTGCCGTTCTCAAGTGTTTCTTTCTAGTAGTATTACTATTCTTTAAGTATTTCTTTTCTTATACTTTTTGTATTTTATTAAAATTTGACTTAAAACTATTTCTATTTTTAACACTATTTTTTTTAAAGTAAATATCTTAATTGCCTTAAATAATGCGTTTTGAATATTATAAATTAACTTTACTTAGTTCCATTTGTTATAAATGCGTGTTTTCCGTCATTGTTTTCAAAAAGTAAATGTTTTTAAAACTGATCCTCTACTGGCAAAGTCATAAAAAAAAAACTTCATTGTTATTGAAGCGAAATGTTCTTTGTTGATTCGTTTCATTGCTACGTGCTGTTGTCAAGTGTTCCATGAAAATTATAAAATAATTTTCCTCTCTCACAATAAAATACCTTTTGTTATTTCTTTTCATACTTTTACTATTGTTCTACTTGGAGTGTGGAGTAGAAAAGTTGCGACCAGGGGGAGTGAACCAAATAGAATATTGAATCGATTTTATGCCTATTCCCCGTTTTTGCAATTAGTACGAGACGTGATTTCTTTTTTTTCTTCTGAAATCGAGCTCGGTAGCTATGATATTTTTTAACAATGTGTTTATTTCTAGATTCTGAGAAATTTTTTTAAAAAACGTGGAAATTTTTTTTTGTGTGATTTATTTTTGAATTTTGTTTTTAAATCATGCGTGGAGTCCGTGTTGTATAGTATTTCATCGTGCATGCATCATTTAATATATATGATTCGTGGATATGGATTAAAAAATATAATACAATTCGATCAAATTAGTCCACGAATAAAAAGATGTACCATTCAAATAACGCTGTAAAAAATTTCGGATCAAATCACTGTATAAAGTACCGGCACGATCATTAAACCATTTTACCGTAAAATCCATTATTACTGTAAAATTCTATACCGTAATTTTTACAATAACATTTAGTTAAGAGTGATTCAGTTATTTTACTATAGTTATTTTTGTAAAAGTTACTGTATATCAGATTTTTTTTGTTCATTAACATGTTTCGGTAAAAATAGATTTCAAGGTGCATAGCGTTTTTAAAAAGTGCTTATTTTTGGTACACGTTTTTTAAAAGCCCTTAAAAGTGCTTTTTTAATTCGGGGTTTGTAAAAAGTGCTTAATTTTCAGGGGTCTGTTTAGAAGAAATTTGGGTCCGCTAACGGACCCTTCACAAAATATCTTCTCATAAAAACGGACCCTTCACAAAATATTTTAACTTAAAAACGGACCCTTCACAAAATGATTTTTCTTTTAATCGGATCCTTCACAAATTTGTTTATCTTCATTATTATTTTGTTAATCGAATAAACCCTTTCCAGGGCAGAAAACAAGAAAGATGGATGTAAACGAATTAAGTTTTGTCTTCGGCAGACGATTCTTCCATTATTCGTCCGAAATTAATATTCTGCGTTCAGCAGTATAGGCTAAATACCAAATATTTGTATGTTGCATCTCTAATTTAGAAGCAGCAATTGTTGTTTATTTTTTAAAATTTAATTTTTTTAATTATAATTTTACAGTGTTGAGCATAATCTTGTATGTCTTTACAATTTAAAAACTCCTTGAAAAAATTTTTTTTTTTGCAATAACGGACCCTATTTGCACAAATTCGTAAAAGCGGACCCTGGTTGAAAGAATGTGAGTAATTTTTTCACAATTTCACGAAAAACGGACCTTTCACAAAATGTCTGGACAGACCCCTGATTTTCTATCTCTTAAAAAGATATTTTTTTTCTTTGCCCTGTCGATTGTCGTTCTAAATTACAAAAAAAATGCATGGTTTTTCACTATTTTCTCTTTAATATTTATCAGAAACTAGTTATTTTATTATGATTATGTTTTTGAATTTTATTGATTTTGCGTTTATAAATTAAGAACTTTAAAAGATAGAATTTTTTTTTTATTACTGCACATATCTTAATTATGATTTTTTTTTGTGGAAAGTGATTAAAACTATTTTTTGAGTGCTTAAAAAAATACTTGAAATGTGCTTATTTTTTGTTGAAAAATCTGGCTACGCACCCTGAAAAAGTAACGGCAGCTTGAGTACTTTTTACCATAATTTGATCCGGAACTTTTTAGTTTATTCATATAATAATAATAATTCGATCAAATTGTGTGGATTTTTTTTTAAATCTCACAAATACTTTTATAATTGTTATAAAATTGTATAATTCGAATAGTACCGTTTAAATCTGCTGCGATTTATTTTCCCTTTAAATCCGTAACTGAAGGAAATTTTTCCCATATAACTTATTTCTCATGTTATTTATTATTATTATTTTAACGAGGGAACATTGAGGGATAAATTAAGAACATGTTATAAATTAGTTTCAAAGTTCGTTATGAATTTTTTTAATTAGGAGGTTTTCATATTTTAGCCCCCCGTCCCTCTTTTAAAATTGCGATAATGATAACGTTGCATGAAAAAAAAAAGAAGTTTCGTCACAAAAATATGGTATTATTAAATATTTAGGATAGATTTAATATATTTAGATGATACAGAAAGTTAATACTACCGCATTGTGATTAAATTATTGATATGTAATAATAAAAAATAACATTGTTATTTACATAAAAATCGTTTCACAATTTTTCTGTTTCAATTCACGTTTAAAATTCGAGTTTTTTAAGCTATGTAGTCCCAAACTTTTTTGCGACGTTTTTTCGGAATTTCATCGCCTTTTATATGAGTTTATAATAATGCTAAATGGCTATTAAAAATTTAGTATTTTTGTCATTCTTCACGCTGCCTCTTGGCAAAGCGAGATTACCTATGACTTACGTGGCGGCACATAGTGTTAAAAGTACTGTGAAGTTGTTGTTGTTGTTAATTTACGTCGCACTAGAGCTTCACAATGGGCTATTGGCGACGGTCTGGGAAACACCCCTGAGGATGATCCGAAGACATGCCATCACAATTTTGATCCTCTGCGGAGGGGATGGCACCCCCGCTTCGGTAGCCCGACGACCTGCGCGCGAAGTCGAGCACTTTACGGTAGCACAGTTTAACGAGGACCAATACCGCACACCCTCGGTCCTTACGCAGACTGATCCAAGTGGTCACCCACCCGCACACTGACCGCAGCCAGTGATGCTTGACTTCGGTGATCTGCTGGGAACCGTGTCTTAAAAAGTACTGTGAAATAATTCATCCGAGCGAGGTTTAATGTTTTTTTTTTATTTGGCAATGAATTAAATTGTTTTTGTACATTTGTAATTTTAAATTCCTCTTTTACCGCTATTAGGATATTTCTTTATTTAATAGCACTATATTGCCCAAATTTAATGTAAATGGTTTTATTTTTTCCTTCTCTCATTTCAATTTTTCTGTGGCAATTGAATATACTTATAATTTTAGAGTCTTGAATTATCTTTTAAGGATTCATGTACATATGAAATTTTGTAAACTAGAATTAAATAATCGTGTTTTGTGCAGTATAAGATTAAGCCATTGTGTCAGTTATGTATTGATTAAGTTTTGCTAAGCTTAATTCTGTTTTGGAAAATA